CATTGGCTTTTCTCTTCCTAACCTAATGGTTTGTTTATGTAACTAATACCTTTTGTCCTTATGGTAAGCTTTGAAACCATCAAGCATTTCTTAAGAATCATGAAATACTTAATGGTTAAATGATACCACATGGATTCAGTCTCTGAGTAAATTACTTACTGGATATATACATGATTCTTCTGAGAATAGAAATAACAACATGATTGAGACCACTAATTTCATAGTCTTGTTGATTTTATTTTATTTTTTTGTTTTGTTTTCAAGAATTTATTAGAAAACACAAATGGTGGGGAGGGACAGAGGGAGAGGGAAAAGCAGACTCCCATTAAGCAGAGAGCCCAACACGGGGCTCGATCCCAGGACCCTGGGATCATGACTGAGCTAAAGGTAGACACTTAACCAACTGAGCAAGTCTCATTGATTTTAGAACCAGAAGTCTGAAATACCCTATAGTCCATCCCATTCTTTTAAAAAGAGGAAGCAGACACCCAGGGAGTTAGTTAAAATCTTAAAGTAGACAGGTTAACTAATAACAGAAACAATTTTTATTAATTACTAGTCCATTGTTATTTCTACTCTCTGTTTCATAGCACTATTTCCCAAGTTACAGTTCTTAGCTATTTTATTTTAGATTCTTGAGTCATGAGAGCCACCTACAGGTTATTATACTTGAAAAGGAGTGGGTAAGTCCTCAGCAAATAAGCCTAAAAGTTTTGTGCAAAGATTATTTAATCGTGGGGCACCTGGGTGGCTCAGTCATTAAGCATCTGCCTTCAGCTCAGGTCATGATCCCGGGATCCTAGGATGGAGCCCTGCATCAGGCTCCCTCCTTCTCCCTCTCCCACTCCCCCTGCTTGTGTTCCTGCTCTCGCTATATCTCTGTCTGTCAAATAAATAAATAAAATATTTTTTAAAAAGAAAAAAGATTATTTAATCGTATATAGATAAAACTCATGCTTAAACTCAATTTAGTTTATAGTGCGGAAGGAGAAGGGTTTACACAAATCCTAGCTCATAGTGATTAACCATAGATTATTAGCCTGCTGAACTAGAACTTGGGTGACTGTTACCATTTGGGGATTCTGCCTTAAACAGAGATTATATTTGTTCTCTACGAGCAAAGCAATTTTGGATGTTACTTTTTGTTTTAATTGAAGAATAATTGACATTCACTCAATATGGTACTAGTTTCAGTGATTTGATATTTACATACATTACAAAATGATCACAATAAGTCTAGGTTCCATCTGTCACTATACAAAGTTGTTTACAGTATTACCGACTATAGGGGTGCCTGGGTGGCTCAGTCAGTTGAGCGTCTGCCTTCGGCTCGGGTCATGATCTCAGGGTCCTGGGATCGAGCCCTGCATCGGGCTCCCTGCTCAGCGGGAGGCCTGCTTCTCCCTCTGCCTGCCACTCCCCCTGCTTGTGTTCCCTCTCTCGCTGTGTCTCTGTCAAATAAATAAAATCTTAAAAAAAAAAAAAAAATTACCAACTATATTCCCTATACTTTACATTACATCCCTGTGACTTATGTATTTTATAACCAGAAGACTGTTCCTCTTAATCCCCTTCCCCTACTTTGTCCTGTGTCTGCACCCCCCCTTCCCTCTGGCAACCATCAGTTTTTTCTCTGTATCTGTGAGTATTCCTGTTTTGTTTGTGCATTTGTTTTGCTTTTTTAGAATCCACATGTAAGTGAAATCTATGTATTTGTCTTTCTCTAACTTATTTCATTTAACATGATACCCTTTAGGTCTATCCATGTTGTCACAAATGGCAAGATTTTACTCCTTTTTATGGCTCAGTAATACTCCATTCTATGTATGTATCACATCTCCATTCATCCATTTATGGACACTGAGGTTGCTGCCGTATCTTGGCTATTGTAAATAATGCTGCAATGAACCTACAGGGATGTCTGTATCTTTGGAATTAGTGTTTTGATTTTCTTCGGATAAATATCCAAGAGTGGAAATGCTGGATTATATGGTAATTCTATTTTTAATTTTTTGAGGATCCTCCATACTGTTTTCAACAGTAGCTGCACCAGTTTGCATTCCCACCAACAGTGCACAAAGGGTCCCTTTTTTCCACATCTCCACTGACACTTATTTCTTGTCCTTTTGATAATAGCCATTCTGACAGGTGTGAGGTATTCTCTCATTGTGGTTTTGATTTGCATTTCCCTGATGATCAGTGATGTTGTGGATGTTTTCTGTTGACCTACATTATAAGTCTAGTAAATATTTAATAAATATCACATTATGTTTTAGGATTTCTGGGGTCCCAATAAATACCTATTTTTACAGCCCATCTTCAGAGCTAAATTGAGAAATAGACAAAGGGGGTCAGGCAGGTAGATACCAAACTGTTTGTGTTTACCAAACTGTTGGTTTTATTACTGATGATGCAGTTGGACAATGTGTTTAAGTATTCCAAAGCTTCCTGTGATTGTAACCTAAAGAGAGAGCTTTCTCAAGAGGAAAAGAAATACTAAATTAATTGTTTTGATAAGGTTCATTGTATATTTATTTTTTAAAAAGATAATATTTAGGGGAGAAAATCCAGTTATTATTAGTCCTGTAAAATTTTACATATTTCTTTTCATCTTGAAAAGAAACTTAAAAAGAAAATATAAAAAATAATTGAGGTCTGTCAATATGCTGAGACACATATCTTAAATGTAGAATTTTTTTAGACAGGAAATACATTTTTCTTGATTATATTTTTGGAAGTCACAATGATTAGTTGATTTTTAGGGGCTTCTGTCAGTGTGAGAGACACGCCATTGTGTTTCTTGACTTTGAGATTCTTGTGTGTGTGTGTGTCTTTACACTGAAATACACATTATTACAATGTTGGTACTTTTGTCTCCAATCTAGGATGTTATTTCTTTTTTTTTTTTTTTTTTTTTTTTTTTTTTAAAGATTTTATTTATTTATTTGACAGAGAGAGACACAGCGAGAGAGGGAACACAAGCAGGGGGAGTGGGAGAGGGAGAAGCAGGCTCCCCGCAGAGCAGGGAGCCCGATGCGGGACTCGATCCCAGGACCCCGGGACCATGACCTGAGCCGAAGGCAGTCGCTTAACCAACTGAGCCACCCAGGCGCCCTAGGATGTTATTTCTTAACAGAAGTAAACACACTGAGTCATAATCTAGTGTAGCAAATGTTTACATATACAAGGAGAAGTGTCACATAGAAGCACCATCCAGAGTACGATGGGAACACAGGAGTCACACTAGCTATCTAGGAGAATTGAGGCAGTCTTCCCAGAGAGGGCAGCATTTTGGATGATCTTGAAAGATGAGTAGGTGGTCATCAGGAAGGGAAAGGAGGAGACATCTCAGGCTGAAAGAATGATTTATACAAAATATGACATTACACGGTGTATATTCCATGTATCTTTATCATTTAAAAAATTTTAATTTTGAAATTCCAAGGAGTGATTTTTTTTCTGGTAAAATCTACATGACATAAAATTTGCCATTTTAACCATTTTTAAGTGCATAGTTCAGTGGCATTAAGTACATTCATCATCACCACTATCTATCTCCAGAACTTTTTAAGATTTGATTTATTTATTTGAGAGAGAGCAAGAGTGAGAGAGATCACAGAAGGAGAGAGAGAAGCGGGCTCCCTGCTGAGCAGAGAGCCCTGACCCTAGGATCATGACCTGAGCCAAAGGCAAACGCCTAACTGATTGAGCCACCCAGGTGCCCCAATCTCCAGAACTTTTTTATCATCCCCAGCTGAAACTCTGTCCCATTAAACACCCCATTCCGCTCTCCCACCAGGTCCTGGTAGCTGATGTTCTCTTTTTCTCTCAATGAATTGACTGCTCCAGGTACCTCGTATACCTGGAATCATACAATACTTGTTCTTTTGTGTCTGGCTTCTTTCAAGCATATTGTCTTCAAGATTTATCCATGTTGGGCGCCTGGGTGGCTCAGTTGGTTAAGCGACTGCCTTCGGCTCAGGTCATGATCCTGGAGTCCCTGGATCGAGTCCCGTATCGGGCTCCCTGCTCGGCAGGGAGCGTGCTTCTCCCTCTGACCCTCCCCCCCTCATGTGCTCTCTCTCTCTCATTCTCTCTGTCTCAAATAAATAAATAAATAAAATCTTTAAAAAAAAAAAAAAAGATTCATCCATGTTGTAGCATTTGTCAGAATTTCCTTCTGAATTTTAACCCTGAATAATATCCCATTAGATATGTATATACCACATTGCAGTCCTCCATTCATCCATCAACAAACATTTATTTAGGTTTTTTCTCCCTTTTGGTGGAATAATGCTGCTGTGTGCTTTGTGAATAAAGCTGCCATGATCATTGGTATGCTCTGTTCGAGTCCCTGCTTTCAGTGGTTTGGGGTATGCACCTGGACGTATGCACCTGCTGGAGCAGATGATAATCAGTGTGGATTTTTTTTTTTTTTAAAGATTTTATTTATTTATTTGAGACAGAGAGAATGAGAGACAGAGAGCACATGAGGGGGGGGGGGGTCAGAGGGAGAAGCAGGCTCCCCGCCGAGCAGGGAGCCTGATGCGGGACTCGATCCCGGGACTCCAGGATCATGACCTGAGCCGAAGGCAGTCGCTTAACCAACTGAGCCACCCAGGCGCCCATCAGTGTGGATTTTTGAGGAGACTCCATCCTGTTTACCACAGCAGCTGTACCATTTTACATTCCCCCAGCAATGCACCAAGGGTTCCAGTGTCTCCACATCCTCACCAATATTTTCTTGTAACATTTTGAAAAAATTTACCAGGCTCTGTACTAGTTCTGTAAGCACCATAGTAAATGTATTCCTATTCTCATTACACTAAACATGACATTTGGCACCCAGCGGAAGTGAAGAGTTTTTACCTGAGACCATGTCAGAGAGTATTGGCCCTTATCTTATTGCTTCTATAGCGCAGAGTGTATTCATAGAACAAGTTGAAGTGTAAATAAACCAGGATGAGTTCTTAGCAACAAACTGTTCTTCTTTCCTGCAGCTCCCTGCACAGGTAGCACTTTCTTCTGCCACAGCAACATGTGCATCAACAATTCTTTAGTCTGTAACGGTGTTCAGAACTGTGCATACCCTTGGGACGAAAATCACTGTAAAGGTGAGTGCGCTGGCAAAGCCCAACCTTTTTGAGAGAAAAATGGCCGTTGCCCTAAAGAAAGACTTAAAATGTCCTTTTCTGTAACTGTGTTTAGCGTAGCTGCTTTGGCTGAAATGGAAACATAGAATATAAATGTTCTTTTAAATGGATCATACAACTCTCATATGTGATAAAAGCAAAGAAAAATACTTATTCTCAATGAAAGCATTCTTTTTTTTCTTACAAACTATGCTTTTTAAGTTGTTCAAAAGTCCACCATAATATTTCCTGCATTATTTTCTTAGTCATTTGTATTGTAAGGATACCTTATTCTCGGAATAATTTAGAAAGTAACCTAGAGTAGTAGTATTTTAAAAATTATATAGAAATACTATTTAATAAATATTGATGGATTCAATCTTAAAAAGCAGCAAAAGCAGACTAGTAAGAACTGCTTTTTTTCATTTTATAAAATTTCCTATGCTGTATGTCTAAGGTAAACATGACTTATGGTAATAGTGGAATATCTACAGACATTATCAAATCACTGTCTCAGTCTTAAAGTTTACCTGCCTTCTATTCTCCAAGAGTTCAGTAAATATCTTACTATGAGAAGTTAGTGTGATCTGATACAGCTGTCTTAAGTACTTGACATGAAGTATCTTCAGATAATCATTCAAACGGTAGATCGTGATGTTATACCTCAGTGGGTTAGCCTGATCACTTTTGTCCTCTCTTGCTGATGGCCATCAGTAGAAATACTGTGGATATACTTAAACGTGGCAGTTGGTCAAACATACCACAGAGCAAAAAGCTAACTTGATAGAACAAGAGTATTTCTTTTGGCATTTTCTCTATATTCATGTTTTTATTTTTTTATTTTATTTTTTTTAAAGATTTTATTTATTTGAAAGAGAGAATACAAGTGAGGGGAGGGGCAGAGGGAGAGGAAGAAGCAGGCTCCCCACTGAGCAGGGAGCCCGATGCAGGGCTCGATCCCAGGACCCCGGGATCATGACCTGAGCCAAAGGCAGATGCTTAACCAACTGAGCCACCCAGGCGCCGCTAGATTCATGTTTTTAATTTGATTTGCAAATTGTATGCCTTCATGTACCTTCTGAGTAAAGAACCAAGTCCTTTTTCTTTTATGTAATCTATCTGACTATATTGTGATTGGTTAGTTTAACCAGAAATCATAATGGGATTATTTTTTTAAAAAAACCTAATTTTAGGGTGCCTGGGTGGCTCAGTTGGTTGAGCGACTGCCTTCGGCTCAGGTCATGATCCTGGAGTCCCAGGATCGAGTCCCGCATCGGGCTCCCTGCTCTGCAGGGAGTCTGCTCCTCCCTCTGACCCTCCCCCCTCTCATGTGCTCTCTCTTTCATTCTCTCTCAAATAAATAAATAAAATCTTTAAAAAATAAAAAATAAAAACCTAATTTTAAATGGTATCATCTATAGTGTATTTGACCCATGTGTTCTGCTTTACCTAAAAATAACCTTACCAGTTTGTGACAGGACTCATTAATGAATTTTGAAAGCCTTGTTGTTTCTCTTTCTACAGAAAAGAAAAAAGCAGGACTATTTGAACAAGTCACTAAAACCCATGGAACAATTATTGGCATCACATCAGGGATTGTCTTGGTCCTTCTCATTATTTCTATTTTAGTACAAGTGAAACAGCCTCGAAAAAAGGTCATGGCTTGCAAAACTGCGTTTAATAAAACTGGATTTCAGGAAGTGTTTGATCCTCCTCATTATGAACTGTTTTCCCTACGGGACAAAGAGATTTCTGCAGACCTAGCTGACTTGTCAGAAGAACTGGACAACTACCAGAAGATGCGGCACTCCTCCACTGCCTCCCGGTGCATTCATGACCATCACTGTGGGTCGCAAGCACCCAGTGTCAAACAGAGCAGGACCAACCTGAGTTCCATGGAACTGCCTTTCCGAAATGATTTTGCACAACCACAGCCAATGAAAACATTTAACAGCACTTTCAAAAAGAGTAGCTACACTTTCAAACAGGCACATGAGTGCCCTGAACAGGCCCTAGAAGACAGAGTAATGGAGGAGATTCCTTGTGAAATTTATGTCAGAGGGCGAGAAGATTCTGCACAAGCGTCCATATCCATCGATTTTTAACCTTCTACTAAGGGGACATTAATTATTAAGTGTGTGTGTATGCCGCCTACAGAGCACCCATGCTCTTCAGCAGCCAGCCCTTTTCTCCTATCAAAACTAGCAAGACCTTCGTTCCCACCAACCTACTGTAGCAGTGAAGCTTTTCTTGTCTCAGGCAGTCTATGTGTTAAACCAACCAAGGGACCTCCTCCGGTCCATGAACAAAATAACAGTCACTATTGCTTGGTGTCACACACACAAAGTACCAGCGAAATAGCATTTGAAGAGGGGGGTGGTGGTGCTGAGCCAGGCTCAGGCTGCCTGTTAGGCTTAGCAACAGGAATACTGCTCTGGATTGATACAGCTTGTCAACATTTTGATCCCACAATAAGTTTAAAAATAAGATTTGTCTCTACATTCCTTTTGGGTTTTTTTCCCTCTAAATTTAATTTGTTTTATAAGTCCGTGATTTTACCATTTTGGTTTCTTACATAAACATAAATGGTCAACGTACCACACATACTTCAATACAGGCATTTGTTCTAGAATTTGTCAAAATATAACTCGTTACTGTGCTAAGTGCCAGTGAAGACCCAGAGTTCTGTTTCACCCATCTGTTTCTTCTTGACTAATTTCTATACTGCTGCCTTTTAATTACTGAATCCTTAGTCCTTATTTTTTGTGAATAGTAGATGATATGATTTATCATCTTTAAGTCCTATTTTGTCTTATACTAGAAGATTTCATAATCCTAGGATGTACGCACCCTTGCCAGTTATGACTAAAAACTTGAAAGAGATTAAAACTTCTGGAAATCCTTTCAAATTTCCCAAATTTGGTCACATGCGGTGGTGGCCCATTCATTCCTGTGTGCAGTCATTTCATTCATCTTGGGGGAGGCTGGTAATTATGTTTCTTTGCAGCATTTCTCATCACCAGATTTGTGTTTCCTGTTGTTTTTATAAGATGATTTTGCTCCCTTTGTATTGGTTTATGTTATGGCATATGGTAGCCAAGGTTGTATGAGCGTTAAAGGAAAATTCCTAAGAAACTGTAAGAGCCCTCAAATTGCTTCTTACTTGGGACAATACATTTTTCTAGTTCTTACCAAGAATAACAACTTCCACTTTTTTTTAAACTGCACTTTTGACCTTATGTTTTTTTTTATGGTATATAAACAATAATTTATAAACATGATATAAAAACTCATTGTGTTTTTTTAGACTTTTGATATTATTTGATACTGTACAAACTTTATTAAATCAAGATTAAAGACCTACATGAGCGATTTCTTTCAGTGTTCATATTAGTGGCTTTATGTACAAATATGCTGTGATGGAACGACACGTTATAACTTACTGTAAAGACCTTAGTAATGTGTACGTAAGCATTTGTTTCCTTTTGTTATTGCATTTAGTTTATGATGAAATTTTCACTGTGTGTTATTTATTGTTCTAAATCACTACACAAATCTTACATTAAAATTAAATGCATTGTTACATGATTCTTCAATCATGTTATTGCCCTGAGATTTTGGATCTTAGGTATATATGGAAAGGAATCCATTTATCAAATTATAACTAACACAGACATGCCATTTTAAAGAGAGAAATTCTCATTTTGATATTTTTTGTAGCAAATTCTCAATGAAATGAGAAATTAAAGGTTCACTGAATTTCATTGGTTTTTTAAGATATCACATGTATGGGTTTTCTCAGATTAGTGAAAACTGGGACCTTTAAATATGATACATATAAAATACCCCTTCAAAATGTTTCTTATAGCACATTTTTTTATTTTTTAAAAGTATATAATATCCAGGAGATAGGAAAACCTATAGATAGTATATTCATGATTTAGCATTTTTTAAAGTCAGCATAATTTCCTGTTTTAAAGATAAAATTTGGGAAAGTAGAAAGACTTAATGAATGTAGTATTCATTGAACTAATGAGCCAGAGCCAGATTAGATAGAAATCCTTTTAGTAGCTACGTTGAATAGGCATTCTAGTAGTTAGTAGCCAGCCAACATTTGAACAGCATAGTAAATATTTAATATAACTGTGATCTCATTCTTCATGATCATGAAGGAAAACTAGCAATTTTCTATGTAAAACTATATCCATTATAAAAACAGCTGTTAAGTCCATCATTAACACCTACATTATAGTAGAAACTAATACAGTATGCTTAACTACATTAATTCTAGTCACTTGTAACTATATTTTTGAAAGTTGTATCCTACTTTCTTTTAAAAGGACATGAAGAGGCCTACAAAATAGAGCCTTTAAAGAAGACATTTAACATTAAAACAGCACAGAACTACATAGCTTCAGGCAACCCCACTTAGCAAGTAAAGCTTGGACAACAATTTTGGTTCTAAACTTTCTGGCTGCTGAAACAAATGAAATAGTTTTTGTTTTTCACAGTAGAGAACCCAAACTGCAGAGGCTAGTTTTCTCTTCAACTAAAGAAAGAGGATCTGTATATAGAACAACATTTCCTCAGAACTTAAATAAGATGCAAAATGCAGAGAGAAGTCAGAATGGTAAATCTTTATCTAGTGAAGGCACATCTTAATACAGTCGGATCATCGGTTTTTCATCAGTCTGTCTGCAGGGGTAGAACTGAAGAGCCAGATGATCGGTATTAGCTAAGCCAGCCTTAAACTGCCCTATCTTGTATGCCTTCATCGAAGTATAGATGGCTATTAGGCCTTGTTTAAACATTTTTTAGTCAAACATTTATTTGGCAGTACACTATAGGAAAAGAAGAGAATGGAACTATTTTTTAGGCATTATTACCAGCGTAACACTAATTGCTGTATTATATAGTCTTCATCTTTGAGGTTAGTAAGAAAACTTCACAAATTGTTTACTGAAGTAAAAGCCATAAATTTTAGTAATGAAAGATGAACTTTAGCCATCTTGTGGAAGTTATTACACCCTTCACAGAAAAGACAGAAGCCAGTTGTTAAAATACAGTGGAAAATGCAAAGCTGGAGGGGAAAGTATCTTCAATTCAGGAGCGGCACTTAAGGACACCTCTACAATGTTGTTACCTTTCACCTGAGAACCTGAGTTTAGCACAAGATATCAACACTCAAGTGCCCGCAAATTGCAGGAAATCTATGAATCCTAACATCTAAAGTACTTACGGATAAAGTGTGATGTATCTTTTGTGGAGGGAAATGTTCAACCTAAAGGTTTAACAAAAAGCAAAAGATTTTCAACCTTTCACATCACAAAAGAGATTAAAAAGGCTCCTTTGACTTGTTAACAGCTTTTGTGTCTGTCCTTGTCATGTTTCATGTAATTACTAAGCATTAAAAGAACCTCCTAAATGCTTCTAAATATTTTTATAGTTCTGTTTTCTGATAAGCAGGATGCTTTCTGGTTTCAGGAGTGTGTCAGGTGATGAGACAGGACAGGGAAAAAGCCTAGTTGTGATTCCAGGAGTGATTCTCAAAGGGGATTTATGCCCTCTTACAAAATGGTGTCTGCTAAATTGTTCATGAAGGGACCTTGAGTTTTGGGTTTTTTGTTTTTTTTTAAGATGATCTGTTCAACTTCATTAATGAGAATTCTGAGGTCCAGAGAAGAGGAGTACCCACATCTCAGAACTAGTCCCATGCTCTTGCCTTGCCTTTGCTGTTTTTCCCCTGCTTTAGCTAGCTGGAAGTTTTAAAGGTCAAGCAGTTCTAAACGGCAGCCCAGATGTTCCATGTAAGCTTGTCAGTCATTCTGATTTAAAATGTATTTTATTCTATAATAATTTTTTTCAAAGCATTTTACTTTTTTTTTAAAATCGATGTAACACTATTCTATAATTTTGTTGCCATGACTTCTTGGCATCTGCAAACTGCAAGACAATTACTGTGAATTCTTAATAAACAATGTTAACAATTTACAGGTTTGGCATCAGATAAAAAGAGCTTCAGTGTTTTGCATTTGTGATCTTTCTTAAATCTAAAGGAAACAGTGTATACTCTAGAAATTAAAGATTTGTGTGCTGTATCTCTTGAGTTTGGAGAATGATTTGAGTTCTGAGCCATGATGACAAGTTGACCTCAGATATCTTTTTTAGGTCCCTGCAAAATCAGTTTTCCATGTTTTATATACCTCAACAAATTAAAATTCTGAATTTGCTTTTTTTTCGTCACTTTTTCATATATGTCTGTGATTTTTAGTCACTTTTTCGTATATTTCTGTGATTGGTTTAATGACTACAAAAGCCCAAGAAGCTAATGACTGGGGTACATATTTAGTAAGTACTTTTTTTTTTTCAAGATTTTATTTATTTGACAGAGACACAGCGAGAGAGGGAAAACAAGCAGGGGAAGTGGGAGAGGGAGAAGCAGGCTTCCCGCCGAGCAGGGAGCCCAATGCAGGACTCAATCCAGGACCCTGGGGATCATGACCTGAGCCGAAGGCAAGTGCATAACCGACTGAGCCACCCAAGCACCCCTAGTATGTACTGTCTTGAGTAAAATTTTTTTTAAGATTTTATTTATTTCAGAGAGGGGAGGAGCTGGGTGAAAGGGAAAGGGAGAATCTCAAGCAAACTCTGTGTCGAGTATGGGGCCCAATGCAGGACTCAGTCTCACAACCCTGAGATCATGACCTAACCCGAAACCTAGAGTCGGATGGACACTTAACCAACTGAGTCACCCAGATGCTCCTTGAGTAAATGTTTTTTTAAAAAATGTTTTTTTAAAGCACTGAATTTTTAGAGATGAATATCCAGACCATGTAAGAATTCTTGTATGTCTAATCCAGGATTTGACACTTCACAGAAAAGAATATGACCCTTGAACTGGAAATAGAACTTGTGTTTTGATTTCCTTGCTTGTCTCAATTTCCAGAGTCTCTAGAAGTGGCAAAGGATCCTTATTTCCTTGCAGGGTGAAGTTGGCATTTCCTACCCAACAGCTTCCAAAAAAAAAATAATCTTAGTTATGATAAAAAGTAAAAGCATCCTCAGGCTATTAACACCATTTAAGTTTTCAAATTAATCTTCAATTGAAGTTAAAAAAAATTTAAAGTGAATTTAGTGTTAGATTGCCTACAGATGCACTGTGCTACTTCCAGTCACTGACGTGGCAGTGAGGACTTTCAGAGTGGGTTGTCAGACGCTGTCCTTTTGAGGTGCAGAGTGCATCAGTCATGGCCACAGCCTAGCAAGGATGGATGAGTAGATTTCACAAAAGGTGCACACTGAGGAGAAAGCAAAGGAAAGCAAAAACTCTGAGCTTTACAATCATACAGACACAGATCAAGGAGCAAAGAAAGACGAAAGAAAAAGGTAGTTACCACTGGCCTGTCCCTGCAAATAGTTACAGAGCAATTTTACTTTGTGTTATTTAAGATCAAGAAACAGCTTTTATCCAAAAATGCTCTCACCTGCCAAGCTTTCTCATACTCGGTAACATCTGGTGCCAGCAGGCCACTGAGCCGGTACATACTTTATGGAAACATTATGAGTAACTGCTGATTGCTAGAAGGAATTCTCATCAGAAATCTAGGTATTGAACCTGCTTTTCAAATGTTCTATTCTTCCACTGATGACTTTGTCCTGTTGTATTAAGCAATGACTCAGAGAAGTAGTCACAACTTTTGAACCAAAAAATAGTTGCATGAATTGTAGGTAAGTTCTTTCCAGACCCTTAGAAGACGTTTCACTCTGAAAATGTGCACAAGTAACAATAGTGAACTTGCTGCAACTTCCTCTGTTTTACATTCATAGCCAAAAGCAATCTTACTTCCTCTGTCATTTATTTTTAATATAAAAAATGAATAAAGCTTGTGGTAGGAGGCTTCTAGGATGGCTCCCAGTGATCCCTGACTCCTGGTGTTCATAAGCTTCTATCATTCCCTGACGGGTGTGAGCTGGATCTGGGACCTGCTTCCAATGAATGTGTCAAAAGTGCCACGTCACTTCTGAGATTAGGTGACAGGCTGGCTTCTGTCTTGCTCACCCACTAGTAGTTGGGTGATTTCCTGCTCAGATGGAAGCCAATTGCCATGTGCTGAGGTGCTCTATGGAGAGGCCCATGTGACAAGAGATGGGGATTTCGAGCCAACAGTTAACATGGCACAGAGGCCCTCAATCCAATCACCTTCGAAGAACTGAATCCTCCCAGCAACATGCCTGGAAGAGGATCCTCCCCACCCTGGAGCCTTGAGAAGACCACAGAAAACACCTTGACTGACTCTTGTGAAAGACCTTGAATACCACCAAGACCACTGATGCAGAAATCCAAGTTATGTGCTGTTTCAAGCTGCTGAATTTGGGGATAATTTGTTACATAGCCACTGATAAATAATACAAAGCTAGAAAAGGACAATGGCATAACCCAACTCGACCTCTGAGGGAAAAGTAGTTGATGAAATTTAACATGATGTTTTTTTGGTTTTTTGGGGTTTTTAAATTTTTTATTTTTATTTATTTATTTTTTATTTGACAGAGAGAGAGACACAGCGTGAGAGGGAACACAAGCAGGGGGAGTGGGAGAGGGAGAAGCAGACTCCCTGCGGAGCAGGGGGCCTGATGCGGGGCTCGATCCCAGGACTCCGGGATCATGACCTGAGCCGAAGGCAGACGCTTAAAGACTGAGCCACCCAGGAGATGCTTTATACATCAATTGTCCTAAGTTTCACCTTTTCATGTAATGATACTGAGAAATCCTAGTCTCAAATCCTAGTCTTTCATGTCCAGATCCTCCCTACTCCCAAAATGAGAAATGTGGCCAAAACATTTCTATACAAAGACTTTCCTGTTGTGATAAAAAAGAGATTTCCTGGAAGAATGATCTTTTTTTTTTTTTTGCTTTACTTTGCTTTATTTTGGTCAAAATGATTGAAAGACCAACCCTGGAGAGTTTTCCTTTCTGAAATTGTTTTCAGTAGCTGGCTGACAGCCACAGATACCTGCTCTAAAGATAAAATTGTATCTTTAATTGTATCTGTGTGTAAATTTTTCCTTTGAATCTGAAGCCAGCTATTACTGACATTGTTTTTCCCCGTGGGTATAATTGTGTCCTAAGTCTTTTTCTAATATGAATCCATGAAACCTTAGCCTCTATAAATAGGATAGGACCTGTTCCTTGTACTCTGATCTCTGCAAAAGAGGCATCAAATGAAACTTGGTCTTCCCCATCCTGCCATTTTTAATTGCCAGATGGTCGTCAGGGACTATGCTGCTTAAAGCTTTTCATTTTCTGTAGGATTAGAAGTGCCTGCCTTTCTACTAGGGGCCTCATGTCTCTTGTTTTATTACCCACCAATGCCCTCAGATTTTTTAAGGAAATACTAAAACACAAAACCAGGTTCTGTAAAGAAACTCCCAAGTCTGTCAGTGAAAAGGAAGGAACTTCCCTGACCAGTATGGGTAGTAGTAGGCTAAGATGTATACAGAGAAACTGCCTTTATCAAAAGCCATGTCTTAAAGGATGTGTTATAGAATGCTTCTATTTTAGGCTGACATTCTCACCTCGGCAGCCTGGAAAAACAGCTTGCTTCTCTTCCCCTCATCAGGTAGGCAAAAAAGTGATTGCACACTGTTTTTAATTGCAGGTTTACATAAACCCACAATTCAAGAGCATTGATTTGTTGGACTGTAATCTACACTTTAACACACTGAGCTGCATTTAGGCAGCATGCCAGATGTGTAAAGTCAGAATTTAATGACAGCATTTCAGTAGCAGCCCCAGAATTTAGTACAGTACCACTGTCGAATACTAATGTGCCACTAACAAGAAAACAAGAGAACAACTTCTTTTTTAAAAAAAGATTTTATTTATTTATTTGACAGAGAGAGACACAGCAAGAGAGGGAACACAAGCAGGGGGAGTGGGGAGAGGGAGAAGAAGGCTTCCCGCTGAGCAGGGAGCCCAATGAGGGGCTCGATCCCATGACCCCGGGATCATGACCTGAGCCGAAGGAAGCCGCTTAACAACTGAGCCTCCAGGCACCCCAAGAACAAACAACTTCTTTCTCAGTTACCTTTTTTGTCCCTTTCTTGATGATGGAGAAAATGAAAGCAATTAACTATTTCATAGAAACCTCATCTCATAACTTCTAGTCAAAAACAACCCATAGTAGTTGTTGCTGTGCCATGGCACTTTATCAATCAACAAAAGGTAAATTAATTTTTAATGCTGCTTATTTACAAAGTTCATGTTTTTCCTGAAGACTTTATCATTTTTAGTTTCTGAAAATAATTATGTACATTAAAAGTATTGTGACTGGGGGCGCCTGGGTGGCTCAGTCATTAAGCGTCTGCCTTCGGCTCAGGTCATGATCCCAGGGTCCTGGGATCGAGCCCCACGTGGGCTCCCTGCTCCACGGGAAGCCTGCTTCTCCCTCTCCCACTCCCCCTGCTTGTGTTCCCTCTCTCGCTGTGTCTCTCTCTGTCAAATAAATAAAATCTTAAAAAAAAAAAAGTATTGTGAATGAAGTCACCATCTGATATCATTTCTGCTTCTCATGATTTTTAAAACGGAGTTTCATTTCCTTTAAAATAGAAGGGAGAGGGGGAAAATTTCTTATTCTAAAAGAATGGTATTTCTCAAACTTGGCACCATTACATTTGGGGCCAAATAGTTCTTTGTTATGAAGGGGAATGTTCTGTGCACTGTGGGATGTCTACTGCATTCTTGGCCTCTACCCACTAGGTCCCAGTAGCGCTGCCCCCCATTTGTGACAACCAAAAATGTCTCCAGATATGGCCACGTGTACCCTGGGGGGGCGAGGGGCCAGACTTGGTTGAGAATCCCTGCTGTAGAGAGATTAAAGGGTTTAACAAAACGAGAAGCTGTTGATTTCTATTTTAAAGAAATACTTCAGACTTCTGGAAAGGTATAAAGAATAGTGAACACCCACATACACAGACTCCTAGTTAACACCACTCAGTTTCATTTCTCTCCTTCTAGCCCCAACCCTCAGAGCTCCCAAATTTGGTTTTTATCATTCCTGTGTCTATATTGGTTAGAAGTTATAGGGGCACCTGGGTGGCTCAGTCAGTTAAGTGTCTGCCTTCTGCTCAGATCATGATCCCAGGGTCCTGGGATCAAGCCCCACATCAGGCTCTCTGCTTAGTGGGGAGCCTGCTACTCCCTCTCTCTGCTGCTCCCCCTGCTTGAACTCTATCTGTCAA